AATGATTTTTTTCCTTCAATGAAAAACAATAATTATTTGAATAGACGTACATGAAAATAATTAACAATAAGATATTACCTGTTTACACCTAGCGACCCCTGGGTTGCAGCTAACGGAGACCTGACAACCATGTTATTTCGATTCCTTACATCATTCTCCTTCAAAAGATGTTGGAGCTCACTAAAAAACTAATTGCGGCTAAACTTTGCCAGGGAACCCTGTTGCAATCTATTCTTCTATCTTAGTTCTATCATAAAAAATAAGTTTCATCAAAAAAGACCTGCAGATTTAGGCAGCGGGATCTTTATAGTTTGTGGAAGAGTTTAGTTTCACGAAACAAGTCCCTCGAATCATAATGTTAAAACTACAAAGGGAAAAAAAAGTTATGCCAAAAAACATTTTCGTGAAACAGTTTATTAATATGGTTACGTAAGGAATTTTTAATTAATATTAAATGGAATATTCAATTTAATGTAATATATTGAATATTACTTGAAGCGCCATCTATGTTGCGGACTTTGCAACTCTTGTAGTAAGCAGCAATGGCGTCGGTACCGGGGAGTTTTAGCGCAAGCGCTGTGATCGGCGTATGTCCTTTGTTCGAAACAAGTCAACATTGTGATATTCGAGTTCAGATTTTTCTGGTGTTGTTTCGTAGCTTAGAAACTTTAACTTGTAAGAAAAGTGGTCATACAATGTCATTATTTGTGCTGTTATAGTTATATTTTAGTATTTAATGTGGAAAGTGTTGTTTTTCTCACGACAAGCTTTCGTTGTATCTTCATGACCGAGCTTTAGGCGGACTGTACGCATGAAACCCTTGAGTGACCTTTTTTTTGAATCTGATGTTAAGGATATGGGCCCCGACATGGTGAGTTTGATAGTTGTATTTTGTTTAGAAATATTCCTTGTTACTGTTTTAAGTCATGAAATAAAGCAATTGTCTCATATTTGCGAGCAACAGGTTCGTTTTTGTTTTGTTTACTTGTCACCGGCGTCCGCCATTTCTGGTTTGGAATCTTCACCGGCCGTAGGTGTAATGATTCTGCATGGTAACCTTTTCGTCATAATTTGGTCGAACTTTTAACTGCATACATGCCTAACAGGCCTGTATCATAAAATATGCTTTTTTTTGTAACAAATTACGCTTGATTCTCTGTCTATAGCCTATAGCTTTACTTGGATACATTAGGTACACAATGAAGACATGATGAATTAAAAACAAAATGAAATAAATATGTACTCGAACATATTATTTAGTAATAACAAAGGTTAGATCGAGGTTAATTTGTGGCGTTAATTATTAGAGTGAGCCCAATAAAAATAATAAATGTATATATTTCGATAACTACGTATTTTTTATTTTCTACATCAATTTATAGAAAATACTTTAAAATATACATTTATAAATATGTAGGCACTCAATAAAAAATATCTACAACTAAAACATCCTGAGAATGTAAAAAAGAAAATAGCCTTATGAAAGCAAAATTGATGAAATACAAAACTTTTGATATTTATAAACTAAGTTATTTATATGAAAAAACAATTAATTATAATTTTAATAATATATTGAGGCTGGAAGTAAAATTTGTTTCATACAGTTTTCAAATTGCTTTTTGATGATTACTTGGTAAAAGGTCATTTTGTGTTGTGTTATTCTTTTTTATTTACTTAATTAATTACATTAAGTATAGTTTTTGATTTATTACATACTACTTTATTTATTTAGACTACATTTGATTTATTCTTTTTTGTAATGCGAGAGTGAAGCAAATTGTTACAAATATTTGTTTGATTGTTATATCATTAGTTTTTATTTAATGACCGACAGTGATACTTCATATCACCTTTCTCTGTTTAAAACTTCCCTGGACTACAACAAACATTTCAGATCCAAAATCAGCAAAATCAGCCCAGCTGTTCTCAAGTTTTAGTGAGATAGACAAACAACAATCGATTTTTATATTATAGATTACATGTCTAAGTTTATGTTTGTTACCTGCTTTTATTGCTATCTGGCACTAAACTAATTGGACAGTAGCTAGGCACAAAACTCAAATTTACAAGGAGTGTTACAAGTTTTAATTTTATAATGAATTTAATAAAGTAGATTAAAAACAAAAATATTGCTTTTTTCTTGAAACAATTAAAACTGAATAAAACATTTTTTTTTTTCATAAGATAGAAGCTGTAATTGGAAATCATCTTGTGTACTGCTGCTCTCTAGATTTCCATTGTTCCGTCCACCCAATAATCAGATAGATAGATGAGATTGTAACAGTTGTCAATCCTAACCTTTTACTACAAACTGACTCGCATAATTATCAATTTTCTAGTAAAAAAGGGAAGTTGGTAGCTATATGGTCCAATCTGTATTTGGTTCGCATAGTTGGTACCAACTATTTCTCTTAAGAGTTTAGTAGTTTTTATTAACTCAATGATATTATTAATATCTAGAAGACTGTGATTTAGTCACTGACTCATTCGTTCACTGATGATCATCAGAATTCATAGGGTACTTGAAGTCCTAGAAAGCCGAAGTTGTGAGATTGTATTAGTACACAAACAACTGAAGAATTTTACAACAAAAAGTTATATTGATATATTTAAGGTACAACACCAACTTAATCGAAAACTAAAATCTACACAAAATTCTTTGTACAAAACGATAACGCAGTTTACTTAAAAATAAATGTCATCTAGTATAGCCAAGCTTAAAGTTTATACTTACTACATTTTATTTCAAATCAAATTATTTATTAGCCATATGGTCAGTTGACAATTATAATGGATGTTTATGCAACTGGCTGCTAAACTTAGAAAGTTACACTCGGTAAGTCTTACAATTCATATTAAATCCCAAAGTCAATTAAATTCATTATTATAAATTAAATTATAAAAACAAAGTCTTGACCCAAACAGTGCGAAGTGGAAATATACTTAATGCCATCTAGTATAGCACCAAATACATATATAGTTTGTTTTCTTTCATTTATAAAATGATTTGTACTTAATATTTTCAAAATTTTTAATTAAAATTTTGTCATAAATTATGAACTCAAATATCAATTTTTATCACAATATAAGGATATATCTTTATAAATTATATTAGATAGATTTGTTATAATGATAAATCTAATTGTAAGCAATGGTTGCTATGGTAACATTTTGATACCCCATAAAAACTCCTATTTTCATCCCTTTAAGTGCTAGTTTTCGGGATAAAATATAACCAATTACCATCCTAGAGTCTCAAACTACCTAAATACCAATTTTCATTGAAATATGTCTAAAAACAAAGGGGGACAAAAAATACGTTTCTAATAAGATCAATATACCCTTCCTAATTTCAAGACTAACAACGCACAGCCTAAACCGCTGCTCGTTTGTGCGTTGTCTGGCAGTCATATGTCAGGACGTCTCCTTTTTTATATGTATAGATAGCTAGAAGCTACACAAAGAAAAAAAAAAGACAACAAAAAAAAAAAAAAAATGCCTTCCTATGACTTTTGTTAACAACAAATTTTTATATATCGCTAGCCGTTTTCCCGCTACTTCGCCCGCGTAAATTAGAGGCTATGATACCCGTCTATGATGTAGCTTTCTATAGGTGAAAGAATTTTGAAAATTAGTAGTTTACTATATTATCAACTTGGTTTCGGAGCCTATTCAATGCAACGAAACCAGTTTTTCAATTCGAATATTATTAATCACTAAAAAAGTTTTTGTCGTGGTGATGGAGGTCAATTTTCCCGAACTTCTGCTTAGTAGTTGGATTGGGCCTGGTGACAGACAGACTGTCACCAGGCTGTATCTCATGAAGACAGACAGTTGAGATTTTCACAAACGATTATTTATGTTGCCGCTATAATAACAAATACTAAAAACAGAATGAAATAAACATTTCAGGGGACTCTCATACAGCAGCGTGATTTTTTTTGTTCATTTTCGGTACGGAACCCTTTGTGCGCGTGTCCGACTTTCACTTGGCCAGTTTTTTTACTTCTTTAAATCAATCGTAAACCTGTCCTTTCGAAGAACGAAGCCACCATATTTTTTTCCTTCACTTCGACCTCACTTTAGTTGGCAATTCTTTAGAACTCTGAGCAAATTAAAATTAAATTAAATTGTCTTCATTTCTGCATCATTCTGCAGATTGGAAGGTTCGAAGGTACTCTAAAACAGGATTTGAGTCACCTCCGTTAATCTTTCATGATTTCATCAATGAACACTATGAGAAATTATAAGCTCTAACAAATAGCATTTATAAAATAAAAAATATATTTTCATCTCCTGGCTTCAATGCAATTTATGGTTTACTGTCATTAAAATCCCAAGTGTCTTCAACAATCTTCTATAATGAGAAGGTTTCGATGGCGTTCTCTGCCCAAATATAAAGAAAGTTTCTAGCAACTCTTCCTAAAAATAAGTAGTGCGACATGAGAGCGATCATTTTTTTACGTTAGGGCTCGTAATTGGTATATAATCTAGTTTAGAGCAAACTTATTAAAAGAGAAGCTGATAGGTTTAGCTAATCTAAATATTTATCCAGAGATAATCTCAGACGTCTTAAATATTATTACCCGATTACCAATAAAAATAGTAGTTTTTCATTTTTTTGTAATTAAAACAATTTCATTGTATATTTTGATTAATTTTGCATTCACAATATCACACTGAAAAATATTCTTAATACAAAATGCCATATTGAAAAATATTCTTAATCAAAGTCGCCCGGATTGCGAAAGGTGGCGGGTTCGATTCCCATCTCTGGGTGCCAGGGATCAAGTGGATTTTTGAAGCATTTTTTATTAAGAATAATTTCATGTGTACACAATATACATGTGCAATAAATTATAACTCTCCCATAATTTCAAGCTACGACTGCGCCTTTCTTTGCGCGCAAAAACCGGGCGCTTTCTTGGCTGTTTTTTCTGCAACTGCAACTTTAAAAAAACCTGGACTTTATAACTTAGACGATTTTTTTGGAAATCCAGATTGCACCTGCTGCGAAAAAACTTTGGGATAAAGGCCCCGGCGCTGGTGGTGACAGCAAAGGCCCACCGCACCTCCCTCCTCTACAACTGAATCCAGAGCAGATGTGGCGAGACCCAACATGGTCTGCTCAAGGTATGAGTTAAATAAATAACAGTATTTTAATTTATTATTTTTCGATCAATAAATAATATTTTAAATAAAATATGGCCTTAACTTCGATAAAATTGTTTCTTTATTATTTTAAACATAAATAATAGATAAGGTGACCGGTTTTATTGGACAAGGAATCTTAAACGATAATTAGATTATATCACAATTAAATAATTAAGCAGTTATCCAACTCTTACCGGTACCTATTTACTTATTTTTGTAATTCAATTTATCGATACCTAATAATTATAATTATAGCTGTTGAGCATAATGTGGGAGTGCCGATGATGAGCACGCGACGAGGAGTCGCATTTCCCGGTGGAGATGCAGGCAGTATTTTGTCTCCTCGAGATACAGCTGGACTTGGAGTCAAGATGGTTGAATATGTATTGGGAGGATCTCCCACAGGTGAAGTCTACGAAACAAAATGCGGATTTATGTTACGAAATTTTTTTTATTTATTTAATGAGTATCTAATTATGATGTAGGTACTTATTTACTACATACTTCGTTTGTTATCATTCACTTATCAGTACCACGTGCGATGAAATTCCTTATGTATTAAAAGTTTCGTAGTAAAATTCTATAGTATGCTCAATTCATTTATAAATCTTTTGTGTATTTTATAAATCTACCACTTACTTAACCCCACAAAACTCGAAGATCGTGATAATAATAATAAAAAACGGACAATGGTTGGAGCGGTCGCCCGGCTCGCGTAATGTTATGGGCTCGAATCGCATCTCGGGCGCCTGAGATTGTAGATTATTATAAGCATATTTTTTATAGAATGAGCACTAACTGAGTTTTTTGTGTTTGAGTAAAAATAGTTTAATAAATAAATAAAATGTTGAGAACACTAAAAAAATCTCATAGAAGCTGGAGGAGTTGCAACCGGTGGTGGGGGTGAGAAAGTAGCCGGTGTTGTAGCGGGTTTACGAGGAATGGTTCTTGAGGAGCGTCCCGAAGATAAGTCAGCATCGCCATTCGAAAAAGATCTTCACGAACTTCACGAGCATGGACCTTTACCCAATGGACTTCATAATGGTCAAGAAGACGACAAAGCCTTCAAGTAAGTTGCTCTTATGTAAAGTGTAATTTAACAATGAATATTACGTACATTTGAATAAACATATAAAAATTAAATTGAATAATGTTAAGTTTGATTTGAGGTCACAACGTGTTTTAGTAATATACTCGGCGTGATTTCTGAGTCGTGCGAGTGGCAAGCGAGTAGCGCGGGCATTAACCGCACTTCGTAGATCATGGCCTCTGTCAATGTCAGCAGCCCCCCGCTCGCCTGCGCCTAGCAGACGTCGCACAGACTCGATTCTTTATCGTGTTTATCGCTATGATTCATTGAGCTAACAAAATCATCTACAAATGGGTGCAAATTATTGTAAGGATATAGAATTCAATTCGATTTATTTACATGAAATGTAGTTACAAAAAACAAAGAAAGCGCTTCACACGTTTAGTTTTGACAGGAATGAAAAAAACATAATTAACATATATCTGAAAGAAATTACCATCAATTTTACATTAAATTATACAAGCACTAACAACAAATTCAGTATATACATGTCATTGGCCATTATTAATAATCATTCAAATATTATGTATTATATTAAGTTAAATAAGTCATCAGCGATGCTTCCAGGTACCAGAAGTTAACATTGATCTAGAATTCTAGACTTACTTATTTATTTAGTACACTAACGATTGTTGCATTTATTTGATTTAAATAAACTAGCTTAATTTATATTTGCTGAATGTACAATCATTTACATGAACATCTCATGCAAAAACTAAAATAAACATTTACTTAGTATACGAACCACACAATCTCACCCCATGAAAAACAAATAGGAAACAGTTACAAATAAAAATAAAAAACAAGGAAAACAATATACTTAATACACTGAGACGTTGATTAGGGTATTTTTCTTACCATTAGTTAGGGTCTTACCATTAGGGTATTTGGTACTATTAAAAATAAGTTGTGTATCTAATAAAGTAAATTTCTTAGAATCTGCAGATAAAACATTTTAAACGTAAAGAAAGTGCAACAATTTAATGTAGGATGAAAACTCCCCGTAATTGGTTGTCGTTGCAATTATAACAGGTTCTGTTTACCGGCAAGTGATGTCACACGCAAACAGGAAGCTGGCATATCAAAACAGTGTCATCAGAGATACGCAAAATTTGTAATTATACCTACATAACATTAAAACCAGAGTAGAAACAATTACAAAACATAAAATTTAACTTCAATCCCTCTTTTGTAATACTACTTGCTTACTACGTCAAATATGTCAAGGCGATATAACCTATTTAAGGTTATGTCGCCTTGACATATTTACCGGCATGTGACATCACAAATACCACGTAATCAGCGACATTACACAAAGCAGCGGTTTTTGCGCGATTTTGGCTATTTAAACTTTAACAATGAGAAACTATTAAAAAAAAGACAATAATTCCCGAAATCAAACTAGATGTCGCTACGTTACTTTGATTTCTTCATAACAACCGTTTTGTACTTTTTCGTGTTTGTATTCATATCTAAGTTTCGAACTATGCAAATTTCAGTTTTATAATATGTTTGTTAAAAGGAACGGAAATTACTACCTTTCATTCAAAAATCAACTTTTGGTAGAGTTGCCATCTAGTGAGGTGCTTTTGAGTGCTTTCTTTTTTTTTTCTTAAAATACTTCCTCATTATTTTCACTGAAATTAGAATAGATTCTCATGAAATATTTTAACAGTGTGTTTAAATGTACACAAACAACTATTTAAAATATTTTTCAGAAAAGCGTCAAATGCCCTACTTACATCAGTTGATATTAAGTAAATAAATACTAAAAACTTTTTATAATTATGCAAATCAATATTATTTAGAGATACTATTAGATATTAGCCATTTAGAAGAAAATGTTTTAGAAGGGTTTTAAAGCGTTTCGAAAATATTCTAGCTTTCGTTTTCAGTGAAACTAATCTAATCCCTGCTTTTTGTAGAGTAATAATAAATAAGACTAAATGCTTTAAAATCAACTATCTATTAAATTGTCTAAACTCTAGGCATATTACTTTGCCATCTGACATAGCAATAATCATTCATTTACTATAAAAAATATGCATATCTGAGTTCAATTCATTTCAATAATGCCAAGCATAGAATATTTATAAAATTAACTTTGTATATTGGCTAAAATCGTATATTTTGTCAACGCGGGAAAGTTGAAATTAAACCATATACTCAGGTCTACAGTATCTAGAACCGGCAGGCTCATTGCCGGATCCCGGTCGAAATTTATAAATAGGTTGCCATTCATCTGTGTTCCGCATTATGAAGTAGGGATATGATAGGTTAGTTTTAAAAGGAGCGTCCTTTTCAGCCGTACGCCTGGATCTCGACAACCGTCTCCGGCCGAGGAGGAGGCAGGCGTTGGACCAGCGGTCCGTAACGGTGACGCAGCCGCTTTCCAACTGTTGCCGCCGCACCATCTGCCACAGCAGCCGCCTTTGCATCATCTGCCGCATCTCTCGCATCCCCAGGTATACAAAGTTATTTAAAAACTGAGATGATCATGCTCAGACCCCCAACTAATAGCTAAATATCATGTAATATGAATGTTTGGAAATATGAATGTAGTACACCCCAGACAATACATATTTGTACAGTCACTGACCATGTAAATTATAATAAGATGGCTCACCTCGACGACCTCTGACACTTAGTTAGATCTATGTCGCTATCTGTGGGGTCAGAGTTTTTGAAATAAAAAAATCTGGTTGGTTCAATGAAGAAAATGAACTTTTTTATATGATATCAGGTTTTAATGTTGTGGTACCGGGTTCCAAATGCTACATAGAGAAACCTTTAAGGAGTTGCAAAGATGCCAATGTCATGGAAACGGCACGTACGGACGGAAAGTACCAACAACCTTGACCAAAGACATAAAATAATTTTCAAATTTTTCCTTAACAATTCAGCTTGCGAGCCCACTATTACTCCTACGGAATTTGTCAAAATAAACTATTGTTTTATATTATTCCATTGTTAACCCTAATAGTCGAAATAAAATTTAAATAAATTAAAATGTATCATTTCATTGCTTTCAGCCACACCCTGGAATGTTAGGTGTCGCGCCCCTTCAAGGATTGCCTCATCAGCATCCACAAATTCACCCTGGTAATTATGTTATTAAACACAAACGCTTCAAATAAATTTTATTGTTAAGAATAATTATGACATAAAAGTGGTGTCCTAATTATTATTTAAAACCTGAAAATCGATTCATGATAATCACCAGCCTATTAACGTTCCGACTGTTATGACATAGGCGTTACCTATGGATGGAATCTAATAGGAAGAATGGGCCATGACCGAAATAATAATTTTAGGTCACCAATTCTACGACTCGCTATTGCGAAAGTTGCTTAACAAATATGTCGCAGACCGAAGGCGTTAACTACGGCGTTATCGACTTCTTCATCTAATACTTCTATTAAAATCGTTATTTTAATCATTCATGATTTGTAATTGTTATATTCGTTCTAGCATAATAGATGTGAGCAATAAATAAATTAACTACTAGAGTTTGGATTATCATAAAAACAACTTTTTAAGGTTAACCTGAAAGAGAGATACTGATTGTTGTCTAAAATTATTACAAATATTAATATTTTTTTGACAGGCATGACATTAAACGACTCTATGAATCAGCACATTGAACTCGTTTTACAAATGGAGCAGCATCCACAGTTTGACAACAATAGTTTTGCTAGCACACAACAAGTAAATGTGAGTAGTTTTCTGTTGTTTGATGATTTATTTTAACAAAGTATAAATGCGTTACGCACTACCCCTACCCTGCCTTCTGGTAAGTGACACGTGTCTGGGATTCTCCATCATGGAACCTCGGAGGTAGGTTTATGTCCTGCGAACCCTCAGGCCCTGTCTACAAAAGGCATAAGGGGAGGTTCAAACTTTTTTTTATGATGGGATGAATGCATTATTGCTGCATTCCCTTGCAGACCCACCCTCAACAGGGGGAGTCAAATAGCAGATTATTTTTTAACTGTAAATTCAGTACTTACACCTTGTCTGATCACAACGTTATTTTACGCATTGTTGTCATAACAATTCTAAGGTTAGAAGTGTTATAGATTGCCTACATTGAGGAAACATATAGTATCGCTCTTGAAAATCATGCATATATTAAAGATTTCAGACATTGTTGCACATGGTGGTATAGAATTGATAATTTCACTAAATGTGAATATTTTCATGTATTTCTATCAGAGGTTCTTAGCCGGCAGTTTGCCGAGCACTTGTGATTCTTGGAAGTATCACAAGTGGTTTATAGGAGCCTCTTAAAGTTATTAAGTATATACCCATGTAAAGATGTAACATTGTTATGTGCTAGGCGTTAGTGGAGTGGATGAGTTAGATATTCTGAATAACTTTTACTATGGTAGCAACTCTGACTTCACAAAAAATAATCAGCTGTTTCATACAAAATTGTAATATCTAATGTCGCCAACAGTATGAAACAGCTGATTATTTTATTGTAATGCATGGTAAAAGTAATTCAGTATATATATTTATAAACTACCGACCCTACGAAGTCCTCACTTTTATCACACATTGCACGTTGAGAACGATAGTGACACAATGCAAAAAATGCGATTTTGAGTAATGAGCGTTTAAAGTTCATGAAATTGTAATCAGCCCCTCTAAACGACGTATCGTCACTAAGCCACCTAGCAGTTTCTATGCAAGCTACGTTCACAGGGATCTTTGCATTTTAAAGTTTATACTTAACAAAGAAAAATGTTGCCGAAAGTAAAATTACGTCGTTTTTGGTTACTGACATTGTCATTCTCAACGTGCGACATTTATCTTTCCTAAGACTTTCATTATGTTGACATATTTTTATATAGATATGTATTTAACATGTTGAGTGTTACCTATTATATAAAAATATCAATATCACTAGAAATAGTGAAATAGATTAAAAGAAAATGTCGTCTTCAAACTTAAAAAAGTGTATAAATAATACTTATGTCAAAAGCGACTTATTAAAAAAAAATACATTTTAGTCTTTGATCAAAAATACAACTATATGTCCGAAGACATAACGCCTCACTTCAAAGTGCGGTCTTATTTTGATTTAGTTTGCGACGGCGCCAACGTTCGGACAGATTACGACGTCACAATGCGTATTAAAACTGCAAATATATCTATCGGAATAAAAAGTCATCTGTTGGAATATCATATTTACGGGCTGTAAATGTGATTTTACAATGTCTAATTAATAAAATATTTTCAATAAAATAAAATAAATAAACATGGCAGTTATTCAAAAATAGAAGATCGATTTAATCTATTTTGAGTATCTTTTTATAACAAACTAAACCAAAATATGCGTTCCCTGAAAGTGACTTAAATCTGTGATTGAATGTTAATAGTTTTTAATAGAGATGAAGGTTGGAATATACAATCGACTGCGGACCCGACAATTAGTCAAATAAAATCTCAACCCAAATCACACACCACTAAACCTAAAGGAACAGTTGTTTCTGTAAACATTAAAATTATAGAGAGTAATCACTTTCATATCGGAGTTTGTTCCGCCAGTTCTTAGAAAAATCTCCCAGATTTTGAACTTTTGGTAGTTTATGGTAGTCGAAGACAAATAAGCATGCAATGAATTAAATATTTTATAATTGCTGTCTGGTCTCTTATTATCAACTTATATGGATACGTATATTTTACTGATTTTACTAAGAAAAATAATATTGACAATGCGACTCCATACTTACCCAGTTTCGGGGCTTAGTTTTTGCCTAGTGTATTATCACAGAATATACTCTGTGGTATTATGTTCCTTGATTGTCGCAATGTATGGTCTATGGTTTGGTGCCGAATTTGGGTATTATTTTAGTATGGGAGGCGTTATCTAGTTGTATTGTTTGTTGATCGAAGGTTTAAGTCGATCTATTTTTCCAGCATATTATGCCGAGTGAGTTTAAGGGCATTATGTAACTGAGAAAAAACTTAATATAGTTCGGTCACTGAACAGAGAAAATTTTGTATAATGATCCGGCACTTCAGATCTCTTTCAGTCGTGCGCAAAAACATATTGCTATTGCTCGCACAGATTAAATTTTGTCATATTAAACTTAAACAGCCTTACTTATAAAAATTCATTAAACTATGGTTATTCAATCGTTATACCAAGAATAGTTATACTCTGTATATGCTCATAATAACGGAAGAATATCTTTTGACTTATAAACTTGGTATATCTTCGGCGTAAGTATTCCACCCTTATGTTCGATGCACGTAGCGGCAACGCCGCATTTTATAGACAAAAACGAAAAAAAGAAAGTATTTTGTCTGTTGAAGTGTCAAATATCACTGAGTTTAACGTTTGGTTGATTGACGTTACGTTACATGTGGTTATTCCTTGAACAAGACGCCGGTGATTTTGTGCAAGTTATTGTAAATTATTAATTCAAATATAAACTAATATCAAAATGGCAAGTAAAAGTAGTATCTCAGCGTTATTAGTATCTGCAATATAGCTCACTGCCAAATAAACGTACAAAAGGAAGGGAACCTTTCTAGTTCTAAATGTTTTCGATTTTCTTCACGTCCTAAATATTTGCGATCGATTGATCAAATTATTAATTTCTGCCACTTTTTGTATTGTCTAAACGTCATATTTCAATAAAATCACGTTTCAATATTATTAAAAATTATCTAATACGGTAAATATTTGGTAAATATCAATAAAGCATCAACAATATCAAAATGTCATTTGACAAATCCGTTGCTACACCAGAGTTATACTAGGGTGACGGGCGGAATATCGGTGGAATAAGTTTTGTTAGAACGTTACATCCAGGTTATTCTAAGCATAAGTTACACCGAGTTTATAAGTTGACATTTTGCGTATTCTGCACTAATTCTCGGTATAACATTTTATACCACGTTTATAAGTAGCGCTGAAAATGTTTACGATATCTGTCTAGTCGCAAGGTCAACGTGCGAAATTTTCTCTATCTGCCAACCGGATTATTTGTATGTAACATTTGACTCTTCTCCATTCTATAATGTGTACAACTATATGTTTAAAAGACGGCTTTTCATAGGAATTTTATATAAACCTAATTAACATTTTATGTATCCATTTTCAAACTAAGAACTCACTTAGCGATTTTCAGTGCCGCAACCCGGGTAAGATGTGAAAATTTTAGGTAATGCGCGGTAGCCCCTTATAGGTCGAGTATATTATAATGAGTATAGGTGAGTGTAAACATAGCGTACGGTTTGTGCAGTACGGCGGTGTGGGTGGCGTGGGCGGTGTAGGCGGCGTGGGCGGCGTGGGCGGTGTGGGCGGCGTGAGTGGCGCGGGTGGAGGCGTGGCGGCGGGCGCGGGCCTCGTTAACGGTGCCGCCGCGCTGCCCGCGCCCGACTCTGCTCAACACCACCAGCCATTCGATGTCCAGGTAAGTGACACACTCTGATTAGGTTTTTTAACTGAAGACCAAGACCATTAACAATTCTGCTACTCAATAAACAGGAAACGTAATTGCCCAGATTCCTATACGTTTTGCGCTACTGTAGCAAGGCGTGAAGTCACTCCGTGGCGTGAATTTGTAGGGAGCTTTTACGGCAGACTAGTATCAGTTCCACAAACAGTACCATATCTCCGAAACTATTAATCGCAGACTTAATGTTACTTCTACATTATTTCTTAGATAATAATGGACTATTTTATTTATAAAATAGAACAATTTTCAACTAACCTATTGTAAAAAATTACTTTTCGTATCCTATTTAAGATTATATTTTTACAAAACCCTAAGTTACAGAATCGCTATTGTAGACTTCAATGGATTTTTTTCAGTTTTCACTTCAACGTATACAGAAAGCATCTTATAAAACATTAATCACAAAGACATGATTAGTTTATGAATAATAGATTTAGGTACATTATCGAATTTCACGTGGTCCTTATTTTTTTATAAATCATTGACACGTCAGTTGCATTGAAAGAAAAAGTTATTTAGTCGTAAAATTACTTTCAAATTATTTTCTATATATAAATTTTAATGCACTTTATAAAAAGCCAAGTGAAGCTTTAAACAGAAAGCGAATTTCCTGAACTTATTGATAATACACTCACAGGCGAAATTAACCGCCCACCTGTATCATTCATCACACTGTTTGGTTCTGCCAGCTATGGCTTATCAACCGTTTTGTTTTATGTGAAGTGAGTAAATAATAAAACACGCAATAAGCAATAAATGAAAAATTAACACCATTATTTATTTTTCTTAATTTGTGTCACCGAAGGGTTATCGGAATTTAGTCGTTGCTTTACATTGTTGCTGTTGTGTTACCAAGTTAACATTGCCTGTTATTTTCAATCATAGTGGGCGAATATTGTTTAATTTGAAATAATATTGTTTGCTCATTATTTGTGATTGCAAAAAATGCTACTCGATGCAACTGATGTAACTAGGGCAGTGGCTTTAGGTGATGCGAGGTATACCCAACGTCGTATCGCTCGCACACTCTGTCTACCTCGAACTACGGTAAGAGATGCCATCAGACGATTTCGTTAGACAGGCTTATACACCCGCAGGCACTTTGACTAGAGAATTTTCTCGTTTCGTTATCACCAATGTGTTGAGAAAACGCTTTTGGACCGCTGCTGAATCTCGGAGGCGTTTTTTTTTTGAGGTGAGAAATGTCAGTGTCAGTGAATATACCTTTAGAAGAAGACTAGCAGAAAGTAATTTGAGGGCTTTTCGTCGCGGTTAATTGTGCCTGTGAGTGTACATTTACAATTTAAGCAATTAAGTTTCGTCTCGATCTGAAAGTCTCTGCACCCGAGACAGCTAAAATTAAGAAAAGTTCCAGATCTTAGTGACACGAGACATCTCGTTTCTCAAACTCTATTCTCTATACATTTGTGAACCCGTTTTATATGCTTACATGTTTTTACTTTTAATTTCGCGTCATTTTATTTAAATTATTTTGTAAGAATGTTGAATTCTATACTGTCCCTGTATAAAGTTATGTTTTTGGAATGTACTTATTTAAAGATTTTTTGTGTTTTTTCACATATCTGTATACATATATATAGAATAAAACTAAAATTGTTTACCTACATAAAAGTAGTGATTTCCATGAATATTCCATCGTTTGATAATTTGTTAATAATATAATAATAATAATAGTATTTATTTGCCTTTAAATGAGGTACATCATAGGTAGAAATACAATATTAATGAGTCCAGCCCATTTAGCTATCAACAATAGCATGCAAATATATTGATGATAAAATCACATCAAACAAGTATAATTATCAAACAATTAATTAAATTAAATATCAATGTAAACAAATATTTAGCGTTTCTAATTAGGCCAATTAAGGGAATATTATCAGGCCCTGACCTTCTTCATTCGATATTAGGTTTCGACAGTATTTTTCGATGTCGATATTTGAAGGCGTCGATATCCTATTCTACAAATATAAATGTGCAAGTTTGTGAGTATGTATCTCAGCATTTTGTAAAAAAATATTTTTTGGTTTTTAAAAGTGAAACTTTAACATATATCTGGCATTCAAAGATTTGTTTGCTGCAATTGGTACCGACGATAGCATAATAGTTACTTTCGAGGTACCAAGTGTATTTACAGAAAGTAACTATTATGTTATTGTCGGTACCAATTACAAGTAACAAATTTTTGTATGGCAGATATATGTTAAAAATGAAAACACGCATATATTAAATAACATAGAACATTTTTGAAACGTATAAAAAACTAATTGACCCCGACTACCCCTCGTGAATTATAGTCATCTGCGAATCATTTCGGGTTGAAATGACGACATCTTAAAATGGTATGGCGGCAAAATTGCTAGTTCTCAAAAACAACTTTTAGAATGTCAAATTAGCAAAAAGACAACTCCTGCTAAGGTAAAATTCTCACAACGACAAAATCGCAGTTGGTCAACTTCTCATAATGTCATCTACTTAAATGATGCATTTGCATAGTGACAACTCCTCATGATTTTGATTTTGTTTAGCGAATTAAAAGTAAAATATGCCTATATGTTGTTTTAAACTTTCATGATTACGTGGTTTAAATTTCCATCGCGGAACATTTGAATCACTGGATCGAATCCCATAAGCCATAAATTATCTCCACTGAACGCCACTACACATAAATAATAGTCAGAGAGCGATTGAAATAACAAAGCACAAGAATTTTAATTGTGAGGACGCATTTAAATTGTCGAGTGTCTGGATACCAGTGTTTCGTATTTGTTTAAACAACAAGATAAATAAAAAAACACATGTAATTTCGCGATTCAGATACATTGAGTGTTTGGTATCGAGAACAGGTGCAATTTAAGTGACGTACGGGCAACGAACGTAAAAGGACCCGAAAGAAGGTATATACCTATATATCTGCCTATGACACTCACCTGCAAAAACTTCAGTTACTCCGTGATCACGGTGATTGCAACAGCGCCGAAATATCAGGAACTCAATAAAAACAAGGTATATGGTCCTCCTATAAAAACTATCTTTCTAATCTACGGGATTGCTACCTTGAACCTTATATAGGTCGAGGCTCCGATATTTCTGGACTGTTACAACCGCCATAATATATAGACATATGACATTAGTTCACTCAGTGCTTTCGAAAACATGTACTATCAAAATTTAACATAACTAAAAAAGGAACTAATAAAGAATACAATCATAAATCAAGTGTCTTAGAAAATTTTGATAGTCTTTTCGAAGGTACTTAGTGTACTTATGTCCAACATTCATAATATTATGAAAAGCTCAACCTAGGCAAGCCATTGTAACAACCGAACAAAAAAAGCTTCGAAAAATTGCTCGAGTTAAGAAGACAACATTTTTGTATCAAATCTAAAATCTGTGTAGTATTTCCTCTGTTTTTATTTTACTTACAATGTTATTTTATGTTACGTTATTGTCCGAAAAAATAACAAAATTAAAGGACTGGTACTTTTTAGATTAGTTGATTATGCTTAAAAGTATCTTCAATGTGACTAATAAAAATTAATGACCTGCTAAATTATAATTGTTGGCAAATTAAGTAAAATCTTGAAAGTACCGGTATTATGCAGATTGACTGATATTTCCCGGTAGCATGTCCAAGTCACGCTACCTTTCCGACACCCCCTTATATGATCGATCAGCCATTCTATACTTTTGTTAACCTACTAGTGTCTTCACGATTTTCGTATAACTTTTCCGTACGGTTATAGGACTGTGTTCTTGGATCATTCTGTGAGAATATTTGATGGTGAGGAGAAGCTTCCTCCCTCGAAAACTATTTTAAGTTATACTTAAATTATTTTTACAACATAACCAATTTTCAAGGTTCTTTATGTCATATTCTCTATTTTTGCTATATACATATTTTTTAAATCGCCCGTTTCTTTCACATCAATCAGTTAAGCTGACCTTTATTACAGAACACTTATCATCGTATTGTGGTTTTATACCTTGTGATTTTGCATTGTGGTTTTCGATTTGAGGTTTCTAATATAGAAATAATGAAAGTCTGTTTCCCGCAATATGATGCATTTCATAAATGCAATGATTTAATTATCATTTGTTCTAAGAAATTATTGCTAAGTAAAAAGATTCAAGTACGGTCGAAGCCTGCAATATATTTTCAATGTTGTCCGATTCGGTTCACATTCTTTCTGAGTAAAGAAAATAAAGAATTCTCAATATTCACATCAAGGAGAACCTAGTGTGATCTTCACTTTACACATCTGAGTTACACGCAATACTAAAAATATTATCTTCTGTGCTGATTGACGTAAAAATGTTGTTCTTACTTGAGTGGATTACCTTCTCATCTGCTTTTGCTTTTTAAATTTTTATACCATATTTTTACTGAATTATTATTAAGTTTAAATGTCACTGTCATTTCCCAGACTACCAAATTACTATTGTACGTTATTGCAAAGCCAAATGCACGTTTGCATTGTTGAGTGAACTTGAATTACCAGGCAGCATATGACTTGCTTTCGTACAGTGTTGTCAATTTGGCCTAGTTTCATGCTATGAACATAAACGTTTCGAGGATGGTGTTAACGTCTTTGCGGTTATCGCATGTATAATCTTACATAACAAGTAAATAAATATATTATGCTGTGGTGTTTTCTACAATATATATATAAATAGCACTATAGGTACTTTATCGGTACTGTACGTAACTATAGTTTTTATATGAAAATTTGCGTGAATTGTTTGTTGTCAATTTTTCAAACTGGGTATTTTTTCCGTTAATTATAAATAGTGTGTTATATATTGATACATGTCTTAAAACTTAATAAATGGTTATCATTATTTATAGTCCGAAATTTTAATTAGTGTCGAATAGTAAAATCCACGATGTCATTAGCGTAAGATGAAATATACTGAATATTAACTCCATGCAG